TTCAATTTTTAGTGTAAGGATTTTAGAAAAAAGTATCGTCTTATAGTTGGAAAAATACGGTAACTTTAGAAGAATGCCCATTATTTTATGTTCATGTTCTAGCTCTGGCTCTTCAGTGACCACACAAGAAGCTGAGGCCAATTAGAAAAACAGAAAAATATCCCCTTTTATTTTGGAGGTGATTCATTAACACTGCTGTATCCTTTTTTCAGACATGGCTCTTTTAATGAACAGCGAAGAGGCTCTGTGCTCACACAAGTTCCAAAGCACTTTTTCCAAATATCTGAAGTGTGCTTAGCCCTAGTAAAAAAATACTTTGCACAAATGAGAGAAGTGAGTAGAACCTGAATTCACTAATACATGCATTGTAAAAAAGTAGAGTTGTGTGTATGGAAACGTAGCACACATACAAAAATCTCCCTGCCTCCAGTAAATGTATTTATTTTATTTATTTATTATATTTGTTAAATACAAATGTGCATGCTTTTGTGCAAGCTGGTTAGATTTGATGCAAATTATGAGCACCTCAAATCAGCAATGATTCATCAAGTAGTGCAGAACACTGAATTATACAAACAGAGACCACATTTGATTATGTATTCCAGTTAAGAAACTGTAATGTGTTTCCAGTGGGCATACAAAAGACAAGAAAGCATCTAACTGATTTTTGACAATAATATCTTCTGGATGTAATTTATGTGGCAAATGGTGAGCCAATGACATCTCCCAAGCATCCACAAAGTACACCCCAATTCCTGAGAACATCTTCCTCATTATTGTGTCAAGCTGATAGGAATACCAGTCACTGTTGAAAAGGCTAACTTCTGGGCCAAGCTCTTGAACATTGGCAGTTTTGATTACTATATGAGTTTTTGGGCTCCGATCCAATAGCCGAACAACTGCCCTGCGAATATTTCTCAATCTCCTGATGTACACTTCTATAGGAAAAGTGCTAAGGTGAGACCAAATAGTTATGGCTATCACGGTGTTCTTCCCACCAACAATACGATTCAGTTCATTGGCAATATAATGCAATTCACTGCTAAAAACTGTAAAAAAGCGAATGGGAGGGCCATGGCAATGGAAATTTAGTAAGATGTTATGCTTTGAGTCCACAGCCATGAGAGGACCAACTTTTTTAGGACGTCCAAGGTTTAATTCCACAAGATCTGCAAAAATAAAAGAATTACTATATCACTGTATGCAATACACTCTTGCTACCTAGAATTGTTCGTAAAACAAAACTAATTTAGGTTTAACATTATGCCTTCTGAAAAATCACCCATGAGACAAATAAATGCAGAGTTTATTCTTGTACACTCAACTAACTATTTCAAGGAGTGAAAAAGTATGTAACCTCATAGAAACCCCTTCTTTGGAGAGAAAAAAAAACACCCTTAATGCCTTAATCACCTGAATGGGCCCTCTCTTTGTTCCCCTTCACAAATTAAAGGGATTCCCCGAGCCCCTCTTTGCCCCAAATGCACTTTTTTTGTCTTTGTTTTTGCTGTATAGTACTGCAGCAGTCTACTCTTTGCTGTCAGTTCTGCTCTGGTTTTGAGAATTTGATCAGCAGGATTTACTTGGAAGATCTAAAATCCTGTTTCCTGCAGCCATTTAATGACCACTGAGATTTTTGCAGCTGGGATTGGATAGACTCTTTGCAAAGCACCTATAAATCTGCCTGTCATATCTGCTACCAACTTCACTGAAGATTACTTCAGTCTTGTCCAGTGGAACAGCTGCTCTGTTTACTGGAGGACAGAAGTGGGATAGCTTTTCTTCTCATGGGGGAGCCTTTTAGGGCTGCATGCCAAATGGCAGTTGGGACTGGTGTCAAAAGTTGATGGGCCCACACAGATACCACAATTTCTCTCTTTCCTCCCTACACAGCACCCCACATACAGCAAACTTATAATTGCTTGTCGCCCAGAGTCACTTGGTTGGGATGAGTGGTTACAGAAATTAAAATTAATTAATTAAATAAACTGCCCAAAAGGGGCAGGGCTCTCTTGCCAAGAGTCTGCTTGCTTGCCAAGGGCTTCTGAAATTAGACAAAAGGCCACATTTGGTCTAAAACCCTTTGACTCAGATTTGCCTGCTGTGCCTGACTTCTCTTGGTAGTCCCCAATAGCCTAATAGTAGGATATTCTTATAAGTGAAATAGATATTGGAAAAAATCAAATTTGGGATTTTTTTTCAACTTTTCTCTCAAATTTCAAAAAGACATGTATATCAACCAAACAACATCAGTAACAAAGTGATAAATGTTGGAAAAATGTTGTATCCAAAAATCTTATATCCAAATTATTTGTGGCAGAATTTCTTTTAAGACAGAGTCAATTTGAACATACCTGGAACAAATGCTGTCAAATATTCAAACCACTGTCTGATTGTAGAGTCTCCGAACAAGTGAATAAGTTTTCCCTGTAAACATTCAGTAATATCTGATGACTTATTAAAATGCCGAATCAACTGTGTCCTTTGTTGCCATTCATCTTGATAATAATAACCAGAAGGAAATACATCAGGACTGTGAGATCTTTCTAGACTGTCCATTTCTGAGAGAGAAAATTTTAAATTAATAATTAAAAACAAAAAGCCATGCATTAAAATTATAGCTTGAAACAAAATAAGGAAAAGAAGTGTTTTGTTTAAATTGTCAGAGAGATGCCATATACATGCTCTGAATCACATTTTGTCCTTTTAAACAGGATTGTTGCTCAGCCCTAGAAAGAATAACCAAGATAGAAAACATGAATAACTTTTCATCCTTAAGTCCATAATGCTTACTTAATATTTTAAATAATTTGTGTTATTATACAATAATAGAATTCTAACAACAGCTGTTCAGCAGTTTCTCATACACTACTGAAACATTGTTAGCAGATATTTGCAGCTCATAAGGACAAGTTGAAACAGTATAAAGCAAAACTGTCAAATATTATTTACTTTACCTGCATGCCCCAAAGGTCTTACGATCACAGTATCAGGCCCACTGGAAGGTATTGGCATTTTAATATTCACACCACTAAATTAAGGGAAAAATTAAAAATTAAAAAAAAAACTGAATACAAAAAGTCACATTTGTCTACTGCTAAATATTTAGAAACAGATTGCACATTAAGCTGAACACTATTCTATCACTTAACATGGTTAAGCCCTCTTCTGAATCTGGGTAGATATCTCAATATGAATAGGACTACAGAGATTCCTTCCTGAATGACAGCAACGGGTATTTCCTTCTGATGCAAAGGCAAATTGAGTTATATTAAATGCCTTCACTAATCATAATTGGCAAATCCCATGAAAAGCACAAGTCATCTCAAAACAAGTGAATTTGCAAGTCCAAGTCATGGAGAGGGGATAATTCTTTGTTAACTTACCATTTAAAAATATCTACTGGGGAGTCTCATCATTTTGCTTCGAGTGTTAACATCCTAAATTAAATGAGTGGGTTATGTGATTAGTGTTAAGTTCTCCTAAGTTTTTCTTGAGGAATGTTTAACTCAAAGCAATAAACTTGCAAGGGGCTACTAGTTAGTGTTAATTATGGCTTTTATAAGTATTGATTTCAAAACTGTGGATTATATTTGATAATATTATGTAGAAGTTCCAGTAAGGAATTACAGCAGTAAACACAAACATTTCAACATTTCTGGAAGGAATAAAACTTATGGTTTAGAATCTTAACCGAGCTATTTACTGTATCTGAATGAACATTTTTTAGAACCCACATTCACTACTAAGGCACTGGTTATCAATGTGTTTTCTAGTGTTGTCACTTGTTTATTAAATAAAAATTGGAATCCTTATATATATTAAAAAAACCCAAAATAAATCACCTCAAAGCAGATTGAGTTAAAAGAGGACTTAGCTATCTTAATAATATTCCATTTTATTCTTCATTGCTAAATGTATTTATTACCAGTATGATGTATTACTACATATTACTAGCATGAGACTTACCAACAACATCAGCTATTGAGTGCTTCTTCTTTTTACAATAAAAAAGTGCAAAAAACCATGAAAGATATATTTAAAAATACATGTTTCTGAAAGGAACAAAAATGTTTATCTATTTTTTAAAACCATGTACACTGGTGAAATTTATATCATCGTTTCAACAAGATGGGCGGTGACAAATTTGATATATAAATAAATAAATAATAAAAAATATTAAAAAGGAATGTCTGCAGGAAAATGTGTGTGTAAAAAGCATCTTGGGGGGATTTGTTTAAACTTAGAAACAAGTGGTTAGAGAAAGTTTCAAATGCAATAATATTTGGGTTTTTAAACATAATTTATTTTAATACATTTGGGGAAAAAAATCCAATACTTTCCTACTAACACAAAGTAGGGACTGCACCTGCAAAGTGAAAACCAGAGGTGCTCAGGCCCAACAGAATCAGTAAAACCAAGCAGATGTTTCCGACCGTCAGGGCTGAGGAAATAATGGCCCAAGTCTTCTGAATCAAAAAGCAGAAGGAAAAGGTTTAAAATTTAAGCCCTAAAGCGCAGATATATACAGCTTAATTTCTGTGTTCTGCAGTAATCATCTTCTGGATATATATAACTTCTTTCTCGTCTACAATAAAGTAATTTATCTAACTGTGTCATGTCTGTGAAGTTTCTACTGTAAAGAAGTTCCTGAATATAGGGCTGTATCTGGAGAGTCAAGTTTTATTGCTACAACTAAAACTAGTCTATATAGCGACAGCAACAGAGCCCTAAGAAAAGGGAGTTCTTGAAAAATATGAGCCATAAATTTGGCACTAAACTGCTCTCTCTTAGACTGTTTTGCTCTTAGCAAATTAGAAAGATTGCAGAATTATATAGATTTTGTTGTTTGTTTGGCATTTGTTTCCAAGGTCAACTTCAGCCTAATAAAAGGCATTCATGAAGTGTCTTTCACCAATCACACAATTTAAAAAGAAAAGAGCCAAAGGGAAATTAATCCATATAGAACAAACATTAAACATACAATCTAAGAAAGCATATACCTTTGGAAAAAGTTACTCTCTTCTGAAGTTAAAAGGCCCTTTTTATATCCCCCTTTAAAATGGTTAATCCTAGTAGCACAGGAGAGTTTTCTTGGCTTGTAACAAAACCATGGTTCTCCAGTATAGCTGTCTGTAAAGTTACAGATTGGCATGTCTCCAGGCAAACACACATTGCATATTGTAACTTCTGAAATCCTTCCTGATTTGAATAAGCTTTTAAAATAGGCCCTGTCTGGTTTTTCTTCTCGTAAACGTTGAAGGAGTTGGATTCCTTCACTAGGATGAACCAAGGACACAGATACTGTGACCTCCCCTGGCCAAAGTAAAGTGAAAAATATTCTATAAGATCCATTCTGATAATCTACAGTTCTTCCAATGGCTCCTGCTTTCAGATAAGCAGAATGAATTCTTGACTGAAGGTAATCTCCACCATATTGCTTTGGGTTTCCATCATAATCCTTCATGTGGACAAGCACCTCCAGCTGATCACCAACTTTGAAATTTGCATGATTATTTAATATCATAAAGTTGCTATGGAAAGGGTCAGTACTCCTCACAAAGGGGACTTTGTTCTCAGGAGGTTTGGGCCACTGTAGAGCAGCAAATAAGGATTCTTCTTCTTCACGTTCAATCTTGGACAAAACCTGATGCTCATAACCACAGTACAGCTTTCTGCGCGTTTTAGTTGTATGCAATGAGGGTTGTGATTCATTCTCTTCTACCAACCATTTTAAACCTGTGGTATTGAAATTCTACAAAAGAAAGAAAGTCTTTCAAACAGACTTGTAGCAACAGAATCATATCTACTATACTTGCTTTATTTTTATTAGCACTTTTCAGCAGCATAAAATCAAAATAGTCAGCAAGAAATACCATGCAATATTAAAAAATACCCAAATTGTTTTAATTTATTCCATTAGATATAAAAGAATTGTATGTATAAGTGGGATTATAGGCTATTAGTTACGTAAATATTTTATCCATGTTATTTAACATATCATTATACCACTCATATTTTTATAACACCATCCTAATATTCTTATTTTACTAATTAAGAGAAAGCTGGTATCTTCCCTTTTCAGAGCTGCTTAAAAATACTTTATTATTGTTGTTCTTTGTTCTGTATCTGTGTACAGTATGTGTATATCTGATTGGGGAGGAGTCACTGAAATAACCTTGCAGAATTATTGTTATTTTCCTCTACCTGTGGCACTGGCTGATTTTTCTTCTTTTGGGTTTCAGCTTCTCTTTAGTTCCTTAACCTCATTATCTATAATAAAGACTTGAATTCTTGCTGAATCAGCACTTTTATTCTGAAATAAGCTTAACCTTAGTACAAGGATTTCCTGCTCACTTAGTCTATATAAGGGAAGGAAAGCAGGTGAAGGAGGTCACCACTTCATTTATTCCCTAGTAATTCAGCACCTAGGCATGAGTGGTTGATGGTGATATTTACTGAATAGGCTGTCCGCAGAAGTGTGGGAAGGTGCAATATGAATTGCATGGGAAAGACTTAAGAGATCCTTCAAGGGCCAACTCACCACTCTTAGCCAACTCTGTATGGATTCCATTACAGAAGGCTATAACTTTTTGTTTTGTTCTTCACCAAAATTGGATGACATAGAAGGAAAGCAGATCTTTAGCAGTAAATGCATACCAAATTTGACAAAAATGGCGCATGGTGGGTTTTTTTGTGCTATGTTTCTTTAAATTCTGAATACCCAGCCACCCACACTTTCGGGACCCAATGCAGTGATAATTGATTCTTATGGTAGAGAGAATGCATGCCAAATTGTAGATAAGTTAGAAGAATTTCATGCAAAGGGGCATGTTTGCAGGAGATTCTGATGGCTCTTCTTGAGTGTAATGAAGCTAAGTATTGGCGTTGCAGTGGAAGTATAATGTAGTAAGCTGCTGCTCTCTTCCATAAAATATATTAGACATTAGACTAAGTTAAATAGAAAAATGCAGTCAACAAAACTGATTATGGGTGATCTACTAGGGGACACATCTTCAGATAAGAAGAATGGGGGGAAGTAGAGCCAGAAGCATCAAATGATAGCAGTGTTATTGCTGGAGATTCTGGCAATACTGGAACCAGTGACTTCACTCCAATTTTGACAGACCCAACAAGTTCACAGGACCCCTTGACCACACCCACTTAGCCCTAGGCCTTGATCTTAACAAAGATTTTGATCTTCATCTTAATGAAGATCAAGGACCAGAGACCTGAACTTTGCAGATTGAAGAAGCTAGCCATCAGACAGTGAGTGCTAAGAGGAAAGCAATCTCTGCAGCTACTGTCTAACAAGTCTGTATCCTGCTTGTGAGTATTCTGTGTTGCCATGTTTTAGACTTTGGATTTCTTCTGACCTTATCTGTTGCTTTTCTTTCAGATTCATTGCCTCACTGACAGCTTATTGGTCCTGATCCCTACTTGCTTGCTTGACCTGCAGATAGTCTATCCTTTAAGATACTGCAAAAGGGCTGTTTCAAAGTTTGTTTTACTCCAGGAAGCTGACATAAAGCATGAGCCTGTGCAGATTTACAGCCTACTGACTATTTTCCTGACAGCCAATTCTGCTGGCACTGGAAAGTAACACAGATTTGTCAGATTAAAGTCTAACAATGTACCTTAACACAGGCTCAAATCAGAATCAAACTGGTTTAGCTCCATCTATGTATCCTTAGGAAATAAAAGGTTTTGATCAAATCCGATATAAACTCATAGTAAAAACTCAAATCTTATTACAATCAAGATTTCCAACTCTGTTGGTTGGAAAGGCTGATGTTGTGGACTGGTTTAATCTGCTGCTAAATTGTACTGCTGCTGTTAATACTGTCATCAGGGCAGTGCTGCTGGTTATTGGGTATTTTTGTTTTGCTAAGGGGCCTATAACAGTTCCATCTTTCCCTAATAGGGAAGGTTTTCTTTTATTACAGGTAGACCTCACTTAGTGATTGCCTCAGGCAGCTACCATTCGAAGTTGCAATGGTGATGAAAAAGTCACTTTGTGACTAATGCCCGCATTTATGACCTTTGTAGTGTCTCTCTCTCTCTCTCGGTCATGTGTTTGTCATTACAGTCAGTTAGTACACATTGTCCTGTGTCTGAGCCAGGTTTTTTTTTCCCTTCCCCCCCCCCCCATCGCAGAGTGGAGAGATGGCCTAAACAAGCTCTTTCTTCCTGAGCTGCTTCTCTCCCCAGCACAGTGGGTTCCTAAAAAGTGCTAACCTGAAGTTAACAGCTCAGCTCTGTGATCTTAATTAGCTGGGTGGCAGCTGCTGTCTGTAACTGACAAGACTTTTAATTAGTTTCATACCTCTGGCTTTTGATTGCCTCCTAAATGGCTTGGGGCTGGGAGCCTGCTGGGCAAACAGCACAGCATTCTAAACTATTGAGAAACTAATCACAACATTCAATGATCTTGCAATCACCAAAAGAGAGAAAAAAATAAATTACAGTTAAATATTTTGTGTCTATGTATTCTTCCTCAAGACATAGTATTTAACAAAAAGTAGTGTTAAGTAATACATTCACAGTCACTGAAAGCTATTTGTGTTACTTATCATGGGAAGACATGGATGATCAGAAAAAAATAACACTCAACCTATTAGGCCAGTTCTTGGAAGAGTGAAGTAACTTACCTCAAATTGATAAAAGTTGTGGACTAATGCCAAAATAGCCAGCAGTGCCAGAATTAAGCACAAAATATGGGTTTTGGAGAAATGAGGCCTCATGATCCCTTCATCTCTCTCTCACCCATGTAAGATGCTGCCACGTTGCCCATATTCCACAGGTGTCAATTTCATTGTTATTCAGTATCACATAAAGGTCATCAGGATGCTTCTGTGACATCACTTTTTCTATAAAGAGTTTTAAACCGATTAGACCTTAAATAGAGCTAAGAAGAAATAAGTTTACATCTGAGAATCAACAATATTAGAGGGCTATACAGGTAGTCCCCAAGTTATGACCACTTGTTCAGTCACCAAAGTTACAAGAGTGCTGAACAAGTGGTACTTATGACCAGTCCTCGAAGTTTCAGCTGTGCAGCATCCCCGCAGTCATGTGATTGAGATCTGGGCACTTGGCTCGCAATTACTTCATCTCAGTGAGCCTCATCACATGATTGCCATTTGTGACCTTCCCTGCTGGCTTCCCACAAGCAAAGTCAATGGGGAATCTGGCAGGGAAGGTCACAGCCACCCCCCTCCATAGCATGCATGCCCCCAGCACCTGCCAGCCCGCCTTGCACCCTGCCAGCCTGTCCATACCCCTTGCCAGCCCACCCTCCCCAGCACCTACCCGAGACCCTTGCTGGCCCGCCTGCACTCCCACCACCCACCTGCACCTTGCTGACCTGCCCAAGGGCCTCACAAGCACATCCACACTCCCCAGCACCTGCTCAAGGCCCTCACTGGCCTGCCCACAGCTTCCACCAACCTTCCCGTGGCCCCTGTCAGACCTCCCACAGCCCTGCTAACCTGCCCACACTCTGTAGCGTTTGCCCAGGGCACCATCACCCCCCCCCCGACTCCTTGCCTGGTACTCCTGCCTTTTCCTAGTTAACCCACACTTGCCACTTTTCTCCCAAGCACCCTGTCCGCTTTTTCTCTAAAGAAGCCCTCCTGCGCCCACTTTTTCTCCCAAGCACCCCACCCATGCCCCCGCCAGCCTGTCCATGCTGCTTGCCAGCCTGCCCACTCTCCCCAGTGCCTGCCCATGGCCCTTGCCAGCCCACCCTCCCCAGCACCTGCCCAAGGCTCTTGCTGGCTTGCCCACAGCACCTGCCAGCCTTCCCATGGTGCCCACCAGCCCTCCCACAGCCCCTGCTGACCTGCCCATGCTGCGTAGCACCTCTCCACAGCATCCTCCCACTGCACCTCCCATACACCTTGCCTTGGACTCCTGCCTCTTCCCACTTAACGACCTACACAGTTCTAAGGTTACAACAGCAACTGTCCTGCTGGGATTGCCATTGCTAAGCAATGCCTTCATATGACATCACGCTTTACAACCACAGTGCTTAGGAACAGCAATCCCCATCCCAACTGCCATTATAACCCAAGGACTACCTGTAGTAATGGGACTCTGAAATGACAATGCTGGCAGTGTGAAGTTTTTAGGCCGAATAAAACGAGGATTTTTAATAAAGGAAGAAAAGGGGAAATATTTGGAGAATTAAGTTAGAAAGCCTTAATACGGAAAAAGTCCTATGAGAGTCTTGTTGGAGAGAAGAAACAGTATTGAATGGTAAAGAATGGAGATGCCAATATTACAATGCCCTTATAACTATATCTGGAATATTGGGTAGTTCTGGTTGCCACACTTCCAAAAGGATATAGTAGAGCTAGAGAAGGTTCAAAGGAGGACAATTATGATCAAAGGGCTGGAACAGCTTCCCTATGAGGAAAGGTGAGATAAGTGAGGTGATGTATCCAAAGTAACTGGAGGCAAGAACAAGCCTGGAGTGGGTTTTTTTAATTTTCTGAGGTAACTGCAAATGGATGAACTCATGACCTTGAAGACCAGAATACGCATGAGTAATCACCTAATGAATAGTAACTGACACACCCCATTTAAGTAATGAGCTAATTATAATGAACATGCGATGTATGTAATGGGAGGAGCTAGGAAACGTCACGGAGGCGGTCGCGAAGAATGTAACCTCTGAGTACCTCAGCCAATGGGGAAACGAGGAAGGGATGGCGGGCACGCTAGCCGGGTATAAAAGGGAGGGGGCGGGACCTGGCTCCTCGGAGATCAAATCTGATTGTGCAG